GTATATCTATTGAATTTGTAGTCGTGTTTGAAGCCGTTTAATAAACTCGCAGGTCGTGTTTATTATGTCTAAAGCCACTCGCGCTGCGCGCTCGTGTCTTTAAACATAATAAAACACTCCTGCTCGTTTATTAAACAGTACTTAACCAATCACAATTCAGAGTTAACTATGTACAATTTAACTACAAAAGTGTAAGAATCTTACACAATCGACCCCGAGTTATTTGTGTTGCATATTCTACTAGCCAGTGGCATAGACACTAGGTGGAAGGCAATCCACCTATCTCATGCGATGCTTACCTTTCTACCACGCTGAGTTTAAAGACAATCCCAGCCTAAAACAACAGCATAACAAGTCATAAATGTTGTATAGTCAACCAACTGTGCACCAAAACGTCGTATCTCCGCTCTCCTAGCTCAGTTTGTGTGGACAGGGAGGTAAAAAGTCTGACGATTTATGTTAGACGATCCTTAGCCTACAGCTGTGTGTCTGGCTCATCGTGTTGGCAATCAGAACACGTGAATATCATACCTGGCCAAGGACATAAACGCCACCACCCACAACTGTAGCTGAGATAGCTGTACCAAACACGGCAAATAATAAAATGGTCCCAATGTTCGCAAAGAAATTACCCTATACACAGTGAAAAATTGTGAATTAATGTAGCTACAAAAATACTACAAACATTGAAACTACAATCGCTTTCCAAGAGAATGGCGTACGTATACCTTATGAAGGGAGTAACCAGATTCAAAAATAATTGGTGGCAGAAGAATGAGAAAGAATATTGTAGGATCCAACTCTTCTTCTTGCTAGAAAATAGATCATTTGATTGAAACCACGTTGATAATGAATGAATGATTCAGTGATGTTTTTCACATGTACTATGTATTTACTCACCCTCCAATTTCCAACATTAAAATGAGTCAAAAATTTCGTGATCAGACCCACCAATGCACCTAAAGCAAAATTGTCATGAAGTAACTGTGTGACTCATTCATTGACAAACTTGCTGACTGCCCAAATGACTGCCCGAATGACGGTCTGTTTGACTTACTGACTAACTATTGACAGGCCTTGCTCAGAATTGCGTTCTGTCTGTCGAGCGCGCCCTTGCGCGCGTCTCGAAACATGTATCCACGCGTTTTGTCAAGCGTCTTTTTTCACGATGAAGAAACTAATTTAAACCTTATTTGAAACCTGGGCAATAAATGTTACTATTGCAAAAACAAATGTGTCATTCATTCTAATTTAGTAGGTGCGCGAGAAAAGCGTCGTAATACACCCTTCCGGAGCTGAAGTATCTCTCTTTGGCTATAGAACCTCGTTTTCGTGCGTGTGATATCAATTAAAGCCCAACATCTCAACCACGAAAACGATGCTTTATTGCGAAGGTGACGTACTTTCTGGAAGCGTCTGTTGGGTCACAGAGATGCGCTATTTGTCAAGTGCATTTGTTTTTGAGTCAGGGCAAGGCTTGCTGACCGACCAACTAATGTGGCTGACCGATGGACTGGCTGATAGATGAACCAACAAACTGGTTGAGAAAAAATGTAACCATACCTAAGAAAACAACGGCAACACTCTCAGGAAGGTAATGAAAGCGATGTTTGATAAGAAAGTAGATCACAAAAATACACAAGCCTAGAAAAGTACAAATAATAATAAAAATAGGTACGATATGCGTACATGATGTTGGATATAAACCTGGGGCAGTTGGTTCAAAAGCTGATTAGCTTAAACTTATGTTAACCTAAAGTTTAAAGCAAACTTCCTGACAGCTTGTCTATAAATTTGGAAATATTTCTTCAGCAATCTTGGCTGGATCATAGGAGTTTATTTCCCTGGAGTTTAGAAATAAACAGACATGCAGAAATAAACAAACCAAAACAGCGGGTTAAATTTTAACCCAGGGTTAACACTAACCAATCTTTGAACAACAGGCCCTAAGTAATAAGTTAATAGTATTAAAAATAGGTACGCTGTGCGTACATGATGTTGCCAATGATGAACATGCATACCTACAATAATACCTCTGGTAATAATTAAAAATAGGTACGCTGTGCGTACACGACGCCATGACTGACCTGAAGACATAACTGGAATAATATCTAGTAAAGTCGCTCAGAAAAGCAAAATAAAAATCCAGGATATTTACCAACAACTAACAAAATGAAAAATATTTCCATCGACTTCTCATGTTCCTCCTCTGCTGATGCTGGTGCTTCTTCTGTCGTTGTTACAGTGGTGGCGCGTAGGGTGGTTATTACTGGTGGCTGAGTGGTACCATTACTGAAATAAATGAACTTTGTTAACATGGTGACATACTGTATAGGATGGTTATTACTGTGATTATGAAATAAAATATATATGAGGATGTCTGAAATCCCATGAGGAAAACAATGTTGAAATTGGCAAATGCAACCTAATCAACAACTGCAAAGATTTAATATAAAGAATATATTGACAATAGAACAGTGATCTGGAGATTTGTTAAAAAATCAGGTGTCACCAGTTGAAAGATTTGGGTGAATTGGCAGGTCTAATAACCATTCAGTGATTGGAATATTCCATCGTTAGGCTCAGCCAGAATACCAATATACTCCATAACACTGGCTCAATATACCAGTATACCCAAAATTCCACACTACGATACCTGTATTTCAACTATTTTAAAATAAAATTCTGTATAACAAATGTAAAATGGTTTATTATATATTAGAGAGTGAGATACTGAAAACTACACAGTGAGATATTTTCCATATCTTCACTAGTGAAGATATCCATATCTTCACTAGTGAAGATATCGATCACGTGACAATTTGCTTTAGAGCGTGAAATTTCACATTTTTTGCTTGGGACTATATAATAAACAGAACATTACACGGTGGCTTGAAGATATGACTTTTTTCTTCTCGTATTAAAAACAATATTTCACTCACTCGCTGTGCTCATTCGTAAAATATTGTTTTCACCACTCGAAGATAAAAGTCATATCTTTGTGCCGCCATGTAATATCCTCTATATATACCAATATATATACATACGAAACCTCTGGCTAAGGCAGCCTGCATCCAGTATGGAATGTAAGTGGTGTGCACGGCACATGTGCCGTGCACAACGTTGCTCCTGCTAATATATTTACTAGTATTTTGGTGCACATTTTGGCAAATGTGCGGGCGGTGCACAAAAAATGTCATTCCATACAGGGCCTGCATTGTCTTTTCATTGTTTTGAAAATACTGCTGTTCTCCATGGCATGCATTCACTCAATGTTTGACCTACTTGAAAGGGCCTACAAAGGACATATCATGCACAGACTAGATTTACGGTTTGACCTTTTTGACCAGATTTAACTTGTGTGTAGTCAGGCATATCAATTTCTCAAGTACACTATTTTCTTGTAAACCGTTCCTGTCTGAGACACACTGATAAACTACAGGAAATAAGCAATTATTTTTAGTCACAGTATTATTAACACGTTCTTGCCACGTCGTTAAGTGCTTTATAAGTGCGTCTTGTATTTTTTGCAATAATATATAAACGCTTTCAAATAAAAATACAAAAATTATATAAAGCGAAATATTATGAATTATAAATCCCTCATTGTGAAATCAAAATACTGTAGATTAAAACCTAATCTTTATCAGACTTATTTAACAATAATAAGCATTACCTGACATTTGAAGATTTATTGTAAAAATATATAATCGACGACATAGGTGAGCTGGTCATTGGATTTTGTCCATTCGCTGCAGCCAAAACACCTAGACAGACAGAAATATAAATACTGCTATATAATCTCCAATATCCAGCCATTTTAGCTTAAAGTTAAGCCAAGATCAATAAATATAAAATTGAAGACATATTTCAAATATTTTTTGTGTACTTTTTTATTAAATACATCAAGTGACAAAGATGGGGAACTGGGGAGAAGTAAACAAAACTTCTTAAATCCCATCATCCAGAATCATTTCATACTTTGACTCACTCTTCGTAATTTATCCTTAAAAACAGGAGAATCCATATGCCTGTTATATTCATTTCAATGGCCTGAATCTGGGCCTAAATGCATGAAGCGGCATTTCCGAGAGCCAAATTTCAACAAAAAAAATACTTATATTTACAGAATAAGAACAATTTGGATCTGTTATATATTATGAATTTGTAACTATGTTTATGTCATTTAGGAAATTTTAGGAAAATTAAGGAATTTCACCGCTGGAGTAAAGGAAGTATACAATCTTCATGTACAGGAAGAAGTGCATTCAAAATATTTTTGTATTTTACAGAATGAAAGTATTTCACAAATGTTATGGAATATATACACTTTGAAAAGGTTTGTACCGAATGTTTAATATCTGTAGTTTTTAATATAATGTTGATTTATTAGTGTTATTTTTAATAAATTTGAAATTTTTCTCTTAGCAAGAAGGTTCTCTATGTGCCCAGCATTGTCTGAACTCTCTGCTGCAAGGTTTGGATAGAAACTTAAATAGATTACCAGAATTTTAGTTACATAAGCTTGTGTTTCACCCGTTTATAATTGTCAAAGCTTTTGTTGTATGTAGACAAAATAATAAAAAACATTTTGTCTAACTTGAAGTGTCTAACTTGAAGTACTATGTTTAAAGCATCATAAGTTGACAAGTTTGAACTTGCCTCTGATATAAATTGTCATTGGCCATATGTAACAAAACTTTCTGCTGTGAATTGGAACTTATGAAATTGGAACCCTAATCCTTCATCCCTTGCCGTTTTGTTTTGCAAAATACCATAAGCCCCCATACAATGTCAATGGTAAAATTTAAGTAACAAGAATATAATATATTGGGCATCTAAATTCTCAATACAATATCTATTTCCTGTTCTATTGACTTAAGAAATTTCAGTCACAGCATTAACTACACACAAGAGCTCTTGGCTGAGCTAACCCAGGCTATGAGAGGTCATAGCTTAGCAAGGTTCCACCAACCTGTTGTAACGAGGATTCCTTCCTTTCCCCTCTTTCACTAGGTCCATATTTTACGCCGGTTGATTTGGCACAACATGCACGTGAGCTTGACGAGGCTGAAAGACAAACCATGGCAGAGGGGGATATCAATTCTGCTGATTATGTTAAGTTTATGAATGTATGTCCTAAACTAAACTAACTTTATTTATACCCAGTACTGGATAGCTCAATCAGTTCTAAACTGTTCTCCCTAGAGGTCCAGTAATTAAGAGTCGTCTCTTATTGATCCAGTGTTACGTCAAGAAGACTGAAACCTGAACTAAACTAACTTATTTATACTAGATATAGCTCTATTAGTTCTAAACTGTTCTATCTAGAGGTCTGGTAAGAGTCATCTCTTATTGATCTGGACAGTGTTCTGGAATATCTAGAGAAAATCTGCAATGTTTGCTCAAACTGGAAACACTCTCCACATGCAATGGAGGCAAAAATCCTCAGTTGCACAGGTGTAAGGTGGGGGGGTGAATAGGTTTTCAGATCGTCGGATTTCACAGAAAAAATTGTCCGGATTTCGGATCTGGCGAATGTTTTACACAGATTTCAGATCTTATTAATACAGCAGATTGCGGATTTATCTAATATTTTGGCGCGGATCGCGGATTTTGCTTCAAATCAGTGGATTTGTATACCCCTATTCACCCCCGCCCTGTAAGGCACCACATTTCACAAAATGAACGAAATTCATTGAATTATACATTTTGCAGCAACCATCGTCAAATATGGATGATAGTGGCTTCTTCTCAATCCAGGTACTGTTAGTGGTGGTATATCTTTAAATCTGAAAATCATTGTCATGGAATAATAAAAATTACAATTGTTCACATCTTCTAAAATTAGCCTGCAAAGCAGAACCAAGCCCGCGAGTGCCTGCTTTGCAGGCTAAGAGTGAGTTTCCAAAGTATTTATTCTCTGGAAATATAATATTTTTATAAATTTAGTGTTTACTGACATAGGTAATCTGTAGAGCATTGGAAGTCTGGAATCTCACTGCTATTCCCTATTCAAGTCCAAACGTCGAAAGCGCAAGACAAAACCCAGCGTAAGATATGTTAAAACTACAAGTGTAATGCAATAATCTTTTCAATAATCTTTGTAATAACTGTAACACAATGTCATCAATTGCTGTTGATAAGGTTATCAAGATTTTGAGCCGAATTTGTACAGGAATTGCCTCGCATTCATTGTCAACTTTAATATTAAATAATAGTAACACGAAATAGCGCTAATTGTACGCACGTAACGCAAGGACACGCTTTTTTTCCCACGAGTGCACGCATTTACAGCGCAACTGAACAGACATGCGCACATGGTGTACAATACAATACCAGGTACACTACAAACAACACCCCTACAACACCAACTGCATGCATCTGCAACAGAAGTAACAGAAAGTACAAACACATCTACCGCAAAATATACGCATTTATACCACTAAAGCCCGGCTTACACTACCCTCAATTTTTGGTACGGCACGGATAAAATTGGTACCCGTACCACTTTTTTGGTTCTTGGACTACCTATTCAGATAGTCCAAGAACCAAAAAAGTGGTCCGGTACCAAAAATTGAGCGTAATGTAAATGGGGCTTAACTACTGAACACATATAGACACATGCAAAGTTCAAACGGCTCGAGTATTACGACTATTGTACTGTAAATTACACACATCTATCTAAACGCGACTATATCTCAGGACCCGAGTATGTGGTAGAAATCGCAGCAGAAATTGCAAGTGTAAACGGGCTTATATTAATCGTAAACTGCGGCGGACAAGCGAGACTATACAGTGCAGCGCAGACTACTTGGTCACCGCAAAAAGCTCCAAGTCTGCCGTATCACTGAACAGCAACGTTTACTTCACATTCATATATTCTACATTTTTATTAGCGGTGAAAAAGCGTTCATTTGTAATTTACAACAACATTGGTTTACCATTCGAAAGTTGGGACGACAGGTATCTACGATGTCTTCTAATTGCAACTTCGTTAATTTGTTCTCTAATTGATACATTTTCCATCTGTTGTGTAGTGGTTCAATCTAAATTCGACTGCATCTGGTCCTGAACTAATATCAGAAACATATCTTTCTCTCTTTTTAACACAACTGCAGAATGAAGGTATTCATTCTATTTTAGCTCCATTTATATTGGACGGGACGGACTCAGGCAAAGAAGAGATAGTTCATCTAATAATTTGTCTGTGTACTTCCTACCCCCTACAGGTTATTCAATCTTCGTTGTTCGAGGTGTGTTTCCAGATTGTGAATCAGATAAAATTTTAACTTTACTTCCTGTTGACCCCACCAAAGTCAAGTCAACGTCAACAAGAGGAAAGTCGAAAAATGTAGCAAAAAATAACGACACAAAAACTCTTGAACCAAAACAAGGTATAAAATGCTTCACAATATTTGCTTCAGTGGCAGTGCACACGAGACATGAAGTCGAGGTTCACAATGATTTCCCTCGATTTCTGCTTAAAACATTCTATTTCAACACACCCTTCGGTTCAGTCTTGGCCATACAGCCTTGTTTTCGCCGTTGAGTTCATAGAGTTGCGATAGATAATCTAAAAAACTCATATATAATTAGTTCATCAGTAACAAAACAAAGGGCTCCAACGCTGAGATCTCAAACATGAAAACGAGGCTCCATAGCCACGGCTAAGTACTTTCTGGAAGGGTGTATTGTGTTTGTGGCTAAAATTCGTCTTCATTTTTAGTCGATGTAGACGAAGTGAGGAGAAAAAGGGAACAGTTTTACTCAGCAAGGTTGGTTTCTTGCGTTATATTAGAGAAGTTCGGATTTGACTTCCACCACCATTAAGGCATCATTAATCAATCAGATGCATTTGAACTATCCAATTAACCAATCAGATGCATTTGAACTATCCAATTAATCAATCAGATGCATTTGAACTATCCAATTAATCAATCAGATACGTACTAAGCCAGTGAGAGGTATAGTGAGTCAAATCTAAACCTCTCTATTCTTTGGTAGGACAATGAATACTTGCAGCTGAAGAGAGTTCTTATGATACTTTGTTATAGATTTAACAATGATTCAGGAACATCATCATCTCAAACAAGTCAAACGATCACTTCTCCTTCTCAAGGTAAAAAATATACTCATCTCATGTTTAGACAATTTAACCATACAGCAGTGTGAATTCACAACTTGAAGACACAGTAAGTCACTATCATTGATTCTATTTGGCAATTTACATTCAGAACACTGAGGATACCTCAAACCTTCACCCAATATGGTGAGGTATTCTGACCAGGTGTGGTATGTTCGTCTCAATTTATAACTATTTTTTCATTTCACAGAAGAAACAGAAGAAGAGATGCTTCAAAGAGCTCTGGCACTTTCCCTAACTCAGGGCTGATGAAGGTCTCATAACAGCGCATAAGAAAGAACACGGGATGTCTGTATTGGCCACAATAGAACGCAGGAATTACGGCTGGTTGATGGTCACAGTAGGACACAAACAAAACATTGATATGACTGCAGTTGGATGGGAATTATTCAAAAATTGGTAAAAATCTAAGAAGTATCAATTAACTTCACGATAAAATGAACGTGTAAAGATATACATTATCAAATATTTGACAAATAAAGAAGTCTGAAGTGTAGATTTCAAAAACGTTTACAGCAGTAGAAAGAAATGCATGTACATTGTATTATGGAAGACCTGTACTTTAAGGAAGTTCAAGTATCAGATTAAAAGTTTGATTGGTCTATACGCACTATTCACTGTAATCAATGTGTGCAAAAATGAGTTCGCTAATATACTATCATGGATATACATAGTCGTAAAAAATATCTTATAGAGTTTCGAGTTCAGTACATGTCCACTTCTCTGTCACACTGGTCTACGTCTATTGAGATAAATTAAAAATGACTAGTGCCAGGTGCATATCTCATAAATTTTCTGAGGCTTGGCTTACTTTTTCGTACTATTTCCGTCGCCAGGCTTTGATTTTGTCTATGCATGCTTCACTGACAGACATCAACAAGCCCCATAACGAGACTAATCACATTTTTAGCCAGAAAAATAGCAGAATCAAAATCGTAGTGGAACCACAACACTAGGCGAATAACCAGGAAAGCCACATTTAAAATAATTTGAAAAACAAGAGTACACGCTGCTGTTTTCTTACGTAGCTTCGGCTCGGCATCATCGTCATCTTCGTCAAATTTTACTTGGTGCACTTCGAGAAAAGAAAGCAGAAAGAACAATAATGCGGCGACTAGAACTGCAATCTCCCATCCCATGGGTATTTTGTCACAAATGTCTTCATGCAGGACTTCTATCATTTCAATGCCATCAAAAAGATCCATAACTATCATGAGATAGAGTTGTTTCAATGTCTCAGTTTTATCCGTGACGGAGGTTAATAATAGCAACATTAGTCCTGGGGTGAAACATAGTGTTATCTTCAGGAATTTTGAGTCGAAGAAAGAATGGTCGGTTGTTGTGTTGTTAACATTAGGTGTGCATAAACATGTGGCTATTTCTTGTTCTCGTAGCTTATTGTCTTCGATCACTGCCCGTCCAAATATCACACCAATCATTATCACAAGCACACAGGAATATACTAACCATACAGCACTCAAACGTTGTTTCAGTGTGTCACGACGCAAAATTTCAATCCAGAAGCCTACTGGTATGAGAAGCATCACTACTAAGCCATAGAAACCAAGTTCATCTTCATGATCAGCTACAAACTTCGACAACAGGACATGTTGGGCAATGAGGAACAGAACGAAGAAACCTCTGCTTACTATATAAAGCCCCATTCTGTGATTCGTAGAGTCGCGTTATTAAAGAAATACTGTGTGCGTACGATACACGTTTACCGTACCTTTTACAAAATGAAAATGAAAGTCATTTTAAAGGGACGTCAGTTAAGGGGACGTCCCATTTAATGAAGACGATATGTATACAAGACATTGCTATGGAAATAGGAATGTTATGCACAATAAATTCAGTTAATCGCGCAAACCAATCCATCTCTAGGATGTATAACACACAAAACGGGCCTATGGCTATGTCAATTTTTCAACATTAGGCATTGCAATACTAATATTATTCCAGAAAACTCCAAAGACTGCAAGTTTTTAACATTTTTTGCTTACATTTTTGTTGGGATAAAAGTGCAAGTTAAGCCAACAGTTTGCGCATATAGTGTTTCATTTTTCCAAGAAAATGGATTCTAAGAATCTGGAGTAGTTGCAGAGCAATGCGCGCGCATGTACCGTCGAGTAATAAAACTAAAGTAAAGATATAATGAATGGACATCATATTATAGAAAGTGTACATCTAAAATAAATACTGATTTGAAAAATGAAATATGGCATGATCATTGTGAATAAATATTACAAAATGACTGTTTATTAAAAAGTAATAAAAACAAACAAGTTTTATTTTACATTTTTAAAACAGCTGCTCAGTTCCAGACAAAGGGCCTTCGCTCAAATCGTCGACGTTTGCCGCCTATTTTTCAGCAATCATCCACAAAATGCAATTATTGAGACTTTTGGAATCCTCTTCCCGCTATTTCAATATTGAAATGATATTATCTTTCTAAAGGTGATATAACGTGACCCTAGAGCCGCAACTGTCTCATTCAAGCAAAGTGACAATGAAATGAGGGGG